CAAAATCACTTTGCAGTTTTACTTGTAACACCTTGGCGACCACTAGCGCCTAAACAGAATTACTCAACAGATCAAACTGTTTGAATCCGGTAACCGCACATGTGCACATTAGGTAGAGATATCAACGTCTTATATAGTTCGAACAGGGGAGTGGCAATCAACTAAAGACCAACAATTTTAAAATTGCTGTCAACTTCCGCGTTTGTGTTTGCAGTTGATGAAGTATATCAGCGGGTGGCGACAAAACATTGTGGATCACCTAGAGGACACCCAAAGCATTCCTTATCACCTCCAACTACCGTCTGCCTCCACGAGCGGTGTGCAATTGTAAAAAACACTTTCAATTTAACGTGTCACACTTTGGCGGCCACTAGCGCCTAAACATGGGCCGATGTAAACTATATGATTCCGGTAGCCCCACGTTTGCACTCTAATTATAATAAAAATTTTAAATTGCTTTCAACTTCTGCGTTTGTGTTTCGTGCTTATAAAATACGTGAGCAAGGGGCGATAAAACAATTAGGATCTCATAGGGCTTTCATAATCACCATCAACCACCACCAGAAGTGTGGTATTTTACAAAAAAACTCTTTCAACTTTACGTGTCACTTTTTGGTGGCCACTAGCGCCGAAACATGGTATCTTAGCAGATGCAAACTATATCATTCCGATAGCCGCACATGTGCACTTTAAGTAGAGACAACAACGTCTTATATGGTTTGGACATTTACATACATATTTTTTAATTTTTTGTTAAAGTAATTGTAAAATTTTTTTATGGAAAATAAATTATTTTATTGAAAGCTTTAGAATATATTAATTAAAAATAAAATAAAAGATAAAGAAATATAGTTAAAAATTAAAAAGGTCGATTTTCTTGTTCAAAGTAAGTTTTAGGAGTTAAAAAATTCGAACGGATGTACATATGTATATGCAATAAAACTATTAAAAAATTATTCATATCATATATTAAGAAAAAATTGATTAAAGTTACCTTTTTCATAACGTATGGTTTTAACTTGAAGCTCTGTAATAAATTAGCCAGAGCGCAGCGAGAAACAGTTCGCTCATCACACAATATTCAGACCAAACAAATCACATAGACCCCCGTCTAACCGTGAATCGGATCACAATTATTCACTAATTCACATCATATTAACTCAAATGGGTCCCATTTTCTCTGCCCATTTACCCCATATATAGAGCCAGCAGCCAGAGACCCGAAACTTTGTATCATATATCATCACCACTTCACATCACATTAACTTAACAGAGTAACATGGCTACTGACCAGTCACCCCAGCAATCTTTCTTATATAGAGTCAGCAGCCAAAGGCATAAATCACAAAAACACATCATATGACATCACTCAACTCAGCTTAGTCACATGGCTACTGGCCAGCCATCCTGGCAGCCTTTCTTATATAGAGCCATTAGCCGGAGGCTCAGCAATTTAGATCACATAGACACATTATTTGACAACACATCGACTCAATTGAAGTACATACATGACTACTAGCCAGCTACCCTGGCAACTTTTCTTATATAGACGGAGCAGCCAGAAGCCCAGCGCTTCTAATTTTTTACAACGCTAGTAGACATCCCATCAACTTAATAGTGTGACGCGAGACCCAACCAACTACTCCGATGATTTTCAAAACTTTGAATGTTAAAACGGCCTTAAATTTTTCTGTGTAGTTCTACGATAATTTTTATTTATTTATTTTTAATTTATCACGAAATTTGCTGAAAATGCAAAATCATAATTTTTCGCTAACAAGTTTTGAATAAAAATCAAGCTTTCCATTTATTTTGCATTGCACATCTTTCACGACGTTTTTACGTTAGAAAGTACATACAACAGCAACACTTAGCCCCTGGAGGTGAGCAAAGCAGAAAAAAAATAAAGTAAAACAAAGTGAAGTAACAGCACGCAGCTGCTCCGTCCGCCAAGCACTTGACTGATTGCAATTTAAATGTTGTTGTTATTATAAAGTGCAACAAAGCCAAACAAAAGAAAACACTGCAATTAATATTTTTGTTTGCATGTCTAAAGCATGTACATACATACATTTGCCTGGACATAGTGGCAAACGCTAACCGCCTCGTACCACTTAACACTGAAAATTGTTCCACTTTCGACTCATTACGATTCTATTTCGTTTGTTGTAACAATTTTTTTTTTAATTCGTTGTTGCAAAAACAAATTAACAGCAACAAATAAATGCATTATTTTTTTATCCTAAAAATGCATTTACCGTTATTTTTACTATAAATTTCATATAATGGAAACATTATCACTGTAAATTGTAGCAATCGCGCTCACTTAGGCGCACTTGTGTCTTAACTATAAGTCTGTCTGTCTGTCGGTCGCATGACTCGCTTTGATTTGTAAAAAACCGCGCGCCAGTCTGCTTATCTTTCACTTTCTTCTGCACTTATTGTATTGGAAAACACTGACCTTTATATACAATTCTGTTTTCATTACATCTATTCAATAACATGAAATAATACAGGGATCGCCAAACTGAGGGTATATTCAATACATTGCTCTAGAATGCACCATGGTCGTTTTGTCCAGCACACAATGGTTTTTCCACCCTTCTGCGACATCTAGGGCCGGAGTATGTAAACTAGATGGGTCAAACAAATTGCATCGTTTAGAGGACACTCCATTCCATTTTTATCATCCGCCTAGCACCACTAGGGGCGTGACAGTTGACCAAAACACACTTTGCAATTTTAGGTGTCACCCTTTGGCAGCCATTAGCGCCGAAACAGGCTGAACAAGATGTCGCAATCTATTTGATTCCGGTAGCCGCACATGTGCACTTTAAGTAAAAACATTAACGTATTATATAGGTTGAAGAGACCACTCCGGCAATCAATAAACAACCAAAAATTTTAAAATTGGCGTTGCAATTGACTAAAAATTTTTGCAATTTTCCCTCACCTAACAGGGTGAACTAGATCAAACATCGACTGATAATAGTTGAAAATCGTAATACCTAAAAAAGTTGGGTTGACCTGAAGTTGAATCGCTTCAATTCAACCGAGTGGAGTTGAAAACCGTTCTCATTTGAACTAAAGAATTTCATTTCTCGCTGTCAGAACTATGTGTTTCATGTAACAAATTTCCTTTCGAATATACTTGTCTAAATCGGTGACATCCTATTCCATAGATCGTGAAAGGGCCACTAATTTCACCTTTCTTTCAGAGGTTGGTAGCTTCTGTTTCTCTACCCCCATTACCTAAGTACCTCTATTTTAGTGTATTATATTTTGATCATTTCCCAAGCCCTTTGACATTTATTTAAAACTTAAACAAAAATCTCTTGACCAAATTTATCGCCCAATTTTATTGTCAATTAATTAATGTAATATTTACTAGTACACAATCACTAAAAGTTTATTTCCAAAGCGGTTGTACTCATCCAATTAGCTTACATACAAAACTAAATATCCTAGCTAATTTTTTACCTAACTTGAAAATATATGCGGTATAACGAATCAGTAAATTTTATTAATATTTTCATCGTTTACATAAATTTGTTTAAACGAATATCGAAAGGAAGATAATTAACTCGTGTTGTAAAATAAATTTGGCCGAATAGTTGATCTTATTACGCAATTTAAAAGATTTCATTACTTTAAAACATTTATTTAAATCGTTAGTTATTTCAAAAACATAAATCTTCTATAGCGTACCACAGAAAAGAGTTTGAATTTTCTATAAAATATTCTTTTTGGACAAGATTATAAAGGCGTGTTACTAAGTCTTCCAGCATATTTATTTGATTTCGGTACGAAGAAATTAATTCCGCCCACTTTAAAAGTAATTCAACTACTTTATTATCCTTCGACAATAGCAACTGCTGAAAATATGCATTCAGCAAAATATCAAACCAATAAAAGATTCTCATTTCTAATTTCATATTGCAGATTTCAGAAGGTGACGTTGATACTTGGCTCAGTTGCTTATAAAAGTAGTCAAGAAGGAATAACAAATCACTTCGAAAAATATTAATTTTTGCCGCTTGTTGTAATGGTTGAATACCTGTTTCAAGACAACACGTTTTTAACATGGCAGCAGTAAAACTTTCGTATGAAGAGTTTGAACAGCTTTTCATAAGAATAGAGAAAAAACGCTTGACGAATACAGATAAAGGTGCACTTGACAATCGACTTAATAAACTCGTAATTTTGGAAGAGCCACTGCATTTTCCCACCAAAAATAGAAGTTTTTCTGACACTTCTTGTTGAGTAGTTCCATAATTTTCTAATTGATGAATAAAAAACTCAAATATAGTTCTGTTTATTAGATGTGATTCCAATTTCGATTTCTGCACAGTAATTGTGTTATTCAAAAAGGATTGCCCTTGATCAACTTTTATAAACGGGTTAATTTTTTCTCTTACACCAAAGTGCTTATATGAGATTTCGTGAGATGAAAGATGATTTCTATAATCCTGAATATTCTTAGGGGACTCATAGTTACTTGCGTTCATAGTGGATACATTTTCTTTATATGAACAGATAGATTGAAGATAATCCTCTTCATTTATAAGATCACCTTCAATTCTAATAAGGTTTTCAGAATAATAAGTTCCAAGTAAATCAACCAAAAGTTCTTGGGGCATGCGGTATGTTACCACTGATAAATTTTGTCCCATAGTTATCAGAATATTGTCGTCAATTATCCAAATGCGAGAAGAATCGAAGAAAACTTTAAAATATTGTTGTGCTTTGACTACTTTGAACTGTGTATTGTATAATAGTAACGAAGCACCTTCCTGATTATTATTTGCTCCATAAATTGCTACGCAATTCTTAGCTATTCCTAAAATAGATAGTGGAGAATCAACGTTAAGTGTTGAAATAACGGCCACAAAATTGCCAGGAGAATGTTCAGATTCCACGCATTCATCTAGATTAAGCAGAAACAGCCTGTGGTCTGACCCTGAAAAGGTAATATGTAACATAATAACATTTTTTCGTAATTATGACAGGTACTTACAAATTGTTAGTAATACGCAATTATTCTCTCCTTCAACTACAGCATAACCTGATAAACTGACTTTCATGTCCTTTCGTCCAATTTGTAAACTCTTCCTTTTTCCACTAAGTTTTAATGGCATAATTACAAGTTCTATTTCCTTATTGTCTCCAGATGATATAAAGTAGGTTAGAACTTGTTCTCCATCAATAAAAAAATTCGTATTTGCGTCTTTAATGTTACCACATTTTTGATGTGCGGTTTCCAACGAATCTGAAACAACATGTGATTCTTTTAGTAATAACAGAGCTTCTGAAAGTCGATCCTTATAGCCATCACTGTAAAGAATAATTGGTTCGCCTTTGCTGGGTATGATATCCACAACATATTTCTGTAACTGTTTTGGAAGATGTAATTTTTAGTTGCTGCTGTGTACTTGAGTACATACCTTTAGTTTTTTTATCGAATTTATATCAGTAGCAGAGGCGTCCCAACAACGAATATATCGATTTCCGAAGATTCCTACATACTTGTTACTTGTATTGTCAAAGATAACTTTTGAAGATAATTTCTCTTGCGTCGACCAGCTACAAATCTGTTGTTGCGTGGAAATCTGAGAAAGAAAAGCACTACATTTTAAACGTAATGAAAATTTGTAGGCTAAACACAGTAGTGGTAGTATATTAATTTAGATTCTTATACAGATATGTACGGAATTTGTTAAGTCTTATTATCGTAAATCTACACTATTAGTTCCACATTTTTTTGGAAAATGGCTTAAAATGTGTATTTTTGAATGTACTTAACCTATAAATGGGAAGCATGCGGTTGAAAACAAGAATTTTTTTCTTTAAATGATATGGTGTTTAATGATGAATAAAAAGGCCGCCAACTCAAAAAAGAGTTCTACATGAAAGATGTCAGAACACGCCGGTGTAGAACCGACCAAGATTATTTTTTTGAATCGCGGCCGAAGGCCCCCAAAGTAAAAAGGAGTTATACGCGAAAGAACTGAGGATACCCCGTGTTGGATAAAATGCTTATTTAAAGCATATATGAAAATAATTGGTATTAAATAAATATGTAGAAGCAATGTAGTGAAGTGCTTGAGTATAATAAGTGCATAATATAAAATAAAATCACCTATAAATCGAGAAATGGCAAGATAAAATGTGTCAAATTTTCAACTTAACATGCAAATATCTCGAAAACTATAAGTTTCTGGCGGTATGTATCCGTATATATATTCTTGTTCTGGAGAATCTCCTCTATCAAACCATAACCCTTTTAACGACCTTTTAAATCGTGGGATAGTATACTAAAGTTTCTCCAAATGTAACCCTTTTTAGAACGAAATAAACCACTACATTAAAAGACGAGTTCCTTCTATAAAAGTGTATGACAACTTTTTTTGGTTAAAAAGCTAACCATATTTTGTTATATGCATTATAAAATAATATAATTATAAAAGAAAATAGTATTATTTCTTTGGATTTACTTTATCCGTATATTAGAGGAATGTTAATTTCCCCATAGAACTTACCTTAACAACAATAACAATATTTCTACTTAATGTGATTATTACACTTCCACTATTACCACCAGGAGATATACCCAGAAAATCTTTGGAATCATTAATCCTAGATAAATTGATAAATTTCAAAAACTTTGTCATACTCATTTTCTATAATCACTATATTGACAAAAACAGCATTTAATGACTGTACAAACTGACAAAGCTAATAGATTATCCCTGGTTTATAACATAAGATACTTGAATTCAAGTTTCAATTATGGAAAGAACTTTTAAAAAATCGATATTTTCAACACATCGAAACCACAAACAATGTCGATAGTTAAATCCACTCAACTTAGGTTGTGTGTATATTGGTGAAAATTTAGCGCCCCAATTACACGATCAAGAATATGCCATCTCATACAAATAACTTGTCAATATTGTTTTAAAATTACAACCGTAACATATGCTGTAAATAAGTTGATAATCAGCCATAGTTTCAAGATGCCGTCGTCAGGAAAACATCCCAAATTTCTTGCAAGGTTTGGATGAAATATATTATTTATTAACAAACAATTTTAAGGTATGTGCATGTTCAAGATTTTTTAATGTTTTCGAGTTTAATTTTTTCTGCCCTTTTAACTGCTTGAAGAGCCACAGACATTTGCATTTCTGCACCATTTCATTGGTATTTTTATTGATATCAATCAGCGGTAACAATGGCTTTTATTTGCAAAACTACGTCATCAGTTGTTTTTGCTTGATTATCAAGTAGTCACACAATTTAATGGGGAAAGTATATATCCCGAAGTTTAAGTTTAAATATTGAAAATGTTATACAAGAAAACGGAGAATGTATTGCAACTTGAATGCAAATACTTGTTGAAACGGTCACAACTGAAAATCCATAATAGACAAAGTTCACCCAAGAAACCTTTTGTTGCACATAATCGCGAAATCGATCGAAGGTCCTGAAGGCTTCACCGCTTCATGCGAAGCTAACCTCGGAGATCCAAAGTTCGTTAGATGGGGACGAGGTGATGTTATGCGCCTTCCTTAATATTGAAGGTGCCTTTGACAATACGTCTCACGAAAGCGCGTCAAGAGCACTCGAGAAAAGGAGTGTGGCAGCACCGGTACGCAGATGGATCGCAGCCATACTGCGCACTAGGGTAGCTGAAACCTCCGTAGGATATACCAAAATTCGTCTTGGCACAACAAGAGGTTGCCCACAGGGAGGAGTGTTATCCCCCCTACTGTGGGGCCTTTTTGGGGACAATCTCCTTGATCTGCTAACGAGCAATGGAATCCGCTGTCAGAGAGATGCGGATGACATTGTTATCTTAACTAGGGGTAAATTCGTAGACACACTCTGTGATATCGTACAGAGCGGACTGGGGCTGGCAAAGGGATGGTGTAGCAGAGAACTTAGAACAACGAGAAGGTGCAAATTGAATTTTGTATGATGCTCGATTGGTTGGCTAAAAAATTGAGATCAAGGAGTTCACCATTTTCTGTAATATTTGCTGTTATTTAACAGAAATGAGAATTTATAACAACGTTCTCTGACAAATTACGTATCTCCCAACATAAAGAGAAAAATTAATGAATGAGAAAACAAAAACTACAAATGCCACTTCACATATGCATGATTATTTTTTGCCATATAAACGATTTTTATGATGAAAAATTGATAAAATATAATTTTTTTGCACAAATGCTACATTGATAAAATGTGTGAAAGATTATGCAAAAAGTTATATTTTATTATTTTCATAACTTTCTAATTTCAATTGTTACAGAATTAATAATTTATGTATGTACATATGTACATCAATATGCTATATTATATAATATAATAATATATTATCACTTATCAATAAATACATGTGAGCGCACTGCTCTATATGTAAGTATGTATGTACAAATATGCGTATGACCGCGCAAAATAAGTAATGCACACACAAATCTACATACATTTAAGCGTACAAATGTAAGTACGTCAGCCAATAGGAAAATACAAACATTGTTGTACAAAAACAACAATTGTCTTAAATAGCATCAGCACCAGAAATGAATATGGCAGCCAAATTGACAAATCCTAAATTTGTAGTAAATCACACACCAACAACATTTTCATTCATGAACGCTGGCGCACAAGCAATAAGCTAAGTCGTTTCATTCATAAAAGCAAACGCCTTACACATCTCCACGAGCATGCGTTTGCCAACAAGCGTCTTTTCGCGACGATGCCAAAAGCTAGAAATCATAAATTGAACATCTTTCTGATGTTCCCTCTAGAAGGGAAAAGTGACTACCCTGCAAACACAGAAAAAAATTACAAAATTGGCAACAAAGCTTTTGTCGATTTAAAATATTTCACAATTCTAAAATATTTTTCCGTTGCTCGCAAAAATCTTCGTCATTATGTATGTATGTTCATATTAAAGCATACATACCTACAATGATTTGTAGGCAAAGCTGTAAGAGCGACAAGGAAAGCGATGACAATCGGCGAGCGTTCGTTTATTTTTCGGCACATCTCTGATTTTCTACCAACAACACAAAGTTGTGACGCTTTGTCGTCGCGTCAGTCCTTCCACGGAATGACTCTTTGACATAAAAGCAAAAACTTGTCAACGGAGATTTCACATCATTGTATAAATCTACTAGGCTTATACAATGTTTCACATGAAGTAATGAGTGTACATATATTCATACAAATACATAGAAATGACATAATATTATATATGTACATATGTCCTGTTGCACATTTGATTCTACGCCAGTCAAATTTCTATAGGAAAATCAACTGAAATTAATATTGAAATAAAATAGACTTTTGAGTAACAATATATTTTTTAAAATTTTATTAAAAATAATATAGAAAGAATACATGTTTGTGTATACATAAATTTAATTAATTTAAATTTATAAAAAATCTGGAATGAAAAATAAAAATAAAATTTTTAATAAAACACGTTAAATGTAAAATGGGCCAAAACGAAAAAGAAGTACATATTTACGTACATAATTACTTTTACAAATGCATTTGAAAAGAAAAATTGAAGCATGAATGTGAAATGCCGACGGCAAAACACAATTCTGTACTTATGTGACTCCATAATGGTGTCAAGTAAATGAATTATTTTAAGAAATATATCAAAATATATTTAAATTATTATTAATAACTCACAATAAAGTAAAAATGAATTAACATAAAATAATTTAAAAATAATAATAAATAATAGTTCAATAAAAGGGAATATATTTCAAATGGAATATCAATATTCCCAGTTTTGCTTACATATTATATTCTCTTCAATATTCGTCGGTTGGTTATGTTAAGAGAGCGTATGTTTACAAATTCACCGCTGTTATAAAAGCGAGAAATTTTATTTGTTTCTCGTGCATGTGAGGTGAACTCCTCCTACAAATTGTTCGCTGTCGAACCTGCACCTTCTCGTTGTTTTAAGTTCTCTGGGAAGCTGCAAACGTGTCCGACTGCAGCACTGGAAGTCATGCTAGAACTGACACCGCTACATATGGTAATTAAACAGACAGCCAAACCGACTCTACTCCGAATGACAGCAGAGGTAGTTGGCAATGGGAAGGTAATCTCATTACCAAAATAGTAAACTTCACTAAGAAGTTCAAAGTTACCCTTGGCAGCAAGGCGGAATGGAATGATTCATCACTGGACCTGCTGCTAAGGGAAAGCACTATCAAGGGGTACACCGACGGTTCGAAAACGGCAGAGGGGATTGGTGCAGGGGTCACTGGGCCAAGCACCAAACTCTCCATTCCCATGGGAAGTTTTCCGAGCATCTTCCAAGCCGAGGTCTATGCTATAAGTCGGTGTGTAGAAATAAACCTCCAACGCAACTATCACAATAGAAGTATTCCTATACTCAGCGATAGTCAGGCGGCACTAAAAGCGATCTCTGCCTATGAGGTCAGATCACTTCTAGTGGAGGAGTGTATAGAACGGCTGAACAGTCTATCTGAACAAAACCGAGTCCACTTTTTTTGGGTGCCCGGCCTCAGGGGTATAGCCGGAAACGAACTGGCTGACGAGTTGGCCCGCTCTGCAGCCTCCACAAAATTGGTAGGACCGGAACCATTCATAGCGGTTGGTCCAGATACCATTAAAGAGCTACTCTGTGGGGGGAAAGAGCAGGCAGGGAGACCCATTGGCAACAAATTCAAGGCATGCACCATGCCAGGTTGCTAATGGTTAGTTGCAACCTCAAACGGTTTAAAGTCGTAATGAATCTCCCGAGGAACAAATTCCAGCTGCTTGTCGCATCCTACACCGGCCATTGCAGGCTTAAGAAGCATCTCTTCAACATGGGCTTATCCTCTTCTGCAAACTGCCGGTTCTGCGACATGGATTCAGAAACCCCAGAACATCTGCTTATGAACTGCACAGCAGTCTGTAGACGCAGAATCAGGCCCTGGGATCCATGTTTCCAAACAGGGATTGTATCGCTTCACTAGTACCCAGCAGAATATAGGAGTCTATAAACATGCTGAGATTTGATGAGTCGATATGACCTAGGGGAGGGCACAATAGACCTTAGGTCGCGGATACCTCAAAATTAATCTATTCTATTCTATGCTCGGTACACAGAAACATTTTTCATTATTTAATTTTTGTCCTCACTTCCAATTTTCTAAAATATTTTTATATTATGTATCGTAAATATACATTTGAAACCAAGGATAGTCGCAAACATGGCATTTGTTTCAAAAATAAAAATGAAAATCGAAATGCAAACCAGCGAACTGGTACGAACAAAATTATATAGTTTGTTTATCACGAGCAACTCGATGAACGTGAAAATTATTCGTGTGAGAACGTGGGCAAATAGACAAAATTGCAACCAAAGAACGTATATTATAGTGAAGGTCCACGATGGGCCGATCTCTTTTCGCAGGGATAGTCGTCAAGGATGAAATACATGCGAAACTCTTTGATTCGAGAGAGAGCTGTCAAAACCCACATTTTTTATAACATTTGACAACCATGTCACTGTCGAAAGAAAATGGACTAGGAATTATAAAAAAAATTTGGGTTATTTTGCATTTCGATATTATTTTTAGGTGCTCCGTTTCCGAGTAGACCTATATAACGCATATATATCCCTAAATACATGTATTCATATTATAAAATTTTTAAAACATCATATAACATAAAAAAATAGTATATAAATAAAAAAATTATAACAAAGAAACAATACAAGTCATAATAATATATCATGGTTTTATGATGAACATTTAAAATTAAATTAGCAAATAAAATTCAGTTGCACGTTATTCAAAAGTATTTGTGTCGTTCCTTGAAATTTCGTTTCGCACTGCTTTTGTTAGCTATTTTTAGCAGGTTTATTTCTGGCATCCCGCCTTTTTTGACATCAGCTGTTCGAAATTCCCTGATTTTAATAATCAGGGAAAGAGAATAACAGAAAAATCAGCGAAAATGAGAGAGTCTCGTATCATGTCATCCTTGTAGTCGTCACAAGGAACGTGTTTCAACAGAGAAATTAGCGGGTTTCACCACAGTTTAACATCAGCACTCGACTGAGAATAGCAGAATTGAGCATTTTCGGTGTTAAATTATAAAATAATGCTAACTCCAATGTTAATAAATTTACGGTTTTTTATTGATTTTTCAAAAGATGTTAACTCTGTGTACATAAACTTGTTGCCAACGAGATTCCAACTTCATTATACCCCTCTCGTAGAAGACTGCGTCCCTATTGC